GAATAAAAAAAAGCCCGAATTACGGGAAAATAACAGAGGGAGAAAACTGAATTCAAGAAGTGTAACAGAAATACGAGAATCTCAACTACCGAAAAATAATCTCAACTACCGTAATCCGAATGAATCTCAACTACCGTAATCTGAATCCAAAAAATATAATCTCAACTACCGTAATCTGAATTAATCTCAATTACCGTAATCTGAATTTAAAAATCGTACAAAAAAGCCCAAAAAATTATCCGCCTTAAACTCAAGATATGAAAAAGCCTTAATAATAACTTTATAACTGCAAAATTATAAGGTAAGCTAAAAAAAAACTAACCGCTGATAAATGAGTAAACGGATTATCCAGTGACTGATCCTCTGTCTCCGTGATTCGCTCCGAAAGAAACTGCAATTATACCTCATTTTTTCCATTTTAGCGTGTTTGGAAAAAAGGAGAGGCTGAGCCTAAACAAGCAGAGAGACCGAGCTTAAACTCTATTCGGGTAATATTATTGGACTGGCCCAACGGACACTTTCGAAAAAAACAACCGAAACAATGGACCAAGACTGCATGTAACGATGGATAGATCATGGTGCATTCCACGGTTTCATCTTTAGCCGTAAAACTAACTGGAAAGTAATTTGTTTCAGAAGTCTGTGCACAGGCGAACGTCTAGACGTTTATACAAACTGTGTGAGTCGTAAAACTGCTGGCGTCGATACCGAGGAAAAGCAGTCTCCTTCCAAAAACTTCGCTACTATTTACATTTTCATATGGTGGTTAGAAGGCTGTACTGATGATTGCCACTCCTAACTGCATCTTATATTGTCTGTGTTTACAGCTAAGCGATGAAAAATAGGTAGATCAACTCCTACATATTCCTTTTTATATGACTTTTTAACATATCACACGTTTGTACCACATTAACAGCCTCACTATTTTTCCCATCATAATCTATTAACTAATCCCATTCAACATTAAAATTTATGGATTACGGTCGTCCCATATTTTCCACTGTTTGGACTGGCCGTTTACTTCAGAAATTACGGTTCGGCCCAGCAAAGGCCGCAAATTATCAATTTAACCCACTCCGGCCGCTCCACTTGGACCGTCCACTTATGATTCGGCTTTCTAATGGCCGTTACTTATCATTCGAGGAATCGGCAAGGCAAAAAAAACATCCACATATGCAACGCTAGTACCAGATGATTGACGTTACCAAAGTCCTGCTACTCCGATTACTCCTGAACACTTTCGTTTTTCAAAAAAAGCAAAATACGTCGAAATCCAAGATCTCCAGTACAATGATCAAAAGCGGTACAGCACTGGTCAAAACGATTGGAAAAGTTGTCAGCTGCATAGATGAAGAACGAAACTATGAATTAACAGTTGTTCCAAGTAGCCCAGAAGCTTTAATATTCCAAAAATTTCTTCATATTCTCTACAGCGTACCTAAAACCAACAAAAAGACAAAAAAATGAAAACGAAACTCACTTCACTTAGTGTTTTTGTAACTGACAAGCAAAGCGGTGGTGGTGCTTCAAAATCCAACATCAACAGGGGCATGGCTGAAGTGATCAAC